TGAAGCTTTTAGGAATAGAAGTAACCTTGAATGTATTCTTTTGCCTTCAGTCAGATCAATAGCATAGTAAGTGCAGACAGGGAAAAAAAGTGTCTGTTTTATTTTTAAATACCCAGACATCCTCCTGTTATATACCCTTGCTGCCAAATTTCAGTTCATCTACCTTATCCAGAAAGGAAGGAGCTCTGGTAGCGGAGTGGTTATGAATCGGGTTGCCAACCTCAAGGTCAGCAGTTCAAAACTACCAGCGGTTCCGTGGGAGAAAGATGAGGCTTTCTGCTCCTGTAAAGATTTACAAGCCTTGGAAACCCTGTGCAGGGTCACTATGAGTCACAACCGTCTCCACGACACTTAACAACAACAACATCCAGCAAGGAAGTCTTTACTGACTCAATTAATGACTTTCTCCTTTGTAGCTGTAACATCCTTAGGAGATTTTTTTGGGCAGCCTTAGACCTATGGATTATTCAGAGAGCCACTTTAAAAAAAAAATTAAAACTTTCTATTGTGAATTGGGTGAAGGTTTACAGAGCAAATCAGCTTTCCTTTCAACAAGTCACATCCATTTTGTTTCATGTCATTGACTGCTGGTGTAGGGGCCAGGAGAAGCAGGTGGGACCATATGAGACAGAACTATGTAGTTTGAAAAGGACAGGGTTTTAGCAATTGAGAATCACTGCTCTGTTAATGTGAGTGAACAAAAAAATAACATTCAAGAAATAAAAATACTTGATTACAAAATTGTTCCTAACCACTTTTCCCACATGTGCCCAGTGTTTCCTGTTTCCATTCTTCTTTCTTTCTTAACCCTTCTGGAGTTTGTCCTTGGGTAAATGCTGCCCTTTTAATCTCAAATGGTTGATTAGTCTAAGGAATTCATACCTCCCTAGTGTTATTGCGCACCTTATAGACCTGGCTATTGGTTGGCTGAAGATGGAGCCATGGTTTCAGATCTGAAGAGAAACTAAGGGCCATAGTCCTGGGAGTCCCACCAGTTGCCCTCCGACCTGCAATCCTGGTCTATTTTGTATGATTTGGAGTTTTGTTCCACATTTCTCTTCCATTCTATCTGGGACCTTCTCAGGTGATGACTTTTAGAGCAGTTGGGCACTATCTAGATCTTCTAGACTGAGGGTCATGGAGGCTGATGTTCGAATGGCCCATTAGTATACTGGACTAATGGTTTCCAAATTTCTTCAGTTTTCATCACTCTTCTTACCTCCAGATAGGGAGAGACCAGTGTTACACCTTAGCTGGCCACACATGAGTTTAAGACCCTAGTCACTACTCTCCCAAAGTAGGATGTAGAACATTGTCTTTGAAGACTATGTTGTGCCATTGACCTTGGTGTCCCCCAAGACCAGGGCCCTGAGCACCCAGGCCCAGTGGCTCATTCTAGAGAACCACTTTTGACTGTTTCTTTATTATTGCTACAGCTTTTCACTTGGGGGTAGAACTAGTGAGTAGAGAGGTGAGGTGGTAAAGAAAGTAGATAATTATATATAGGTTACAAAGTTATTTTGACATAATTCATTCACAGTGCAGTCTAACATATGAGTATGTAAGAGTTTTTCCTGTTGGGTTGTCATTGGTTATTAATATTTATATTATTTAAAGTTCATGAAATTTATTTGAGTGATTGGGCACTTAATCTAATGTTTTTATTCTTTGACATCCTATTCCTTTCTTACATAATCTAAAAAAAAATAAAAGCTTTAATGTTAGCAACTTTTTAAATTTTAAAAAAGTATTGGATATTAGCTAAAAGATATATGAATGACATTTGATTCCCTATGAATAACAGTTGATCCCCTTAGTATCATCAATTCTTTATTCTAGACTGAGTTTTAAAAATATATGATAGGTATGGGTTCTCACCACCACTCGTCTGTCAGTTTGTTGTACTGTGGTGGCTTGTGAGTTGCTGTGATACTGGAAGCTATGCCATGGGTAT